TGTTAGTTCGAATTTCGGGCCTCGCCTGGTGAGGTGAGGCCTTGAGACCCGAGGACTCTGGAGTCTCCGGTCTCTGTTTGGGAGTAGGCGGTGTAGCCTGGGCTACAGCCGCCTTGGGGGCAGGTGTCACAACCACCGGCTCGGTATGCACGGGCCGAAGGAGTGGCGAGGGCTGGTGCGGCGGTGCCCCCTGACGCGCCGCATCAGCGTATGTAGGTCCATAAAATGGAGCGACTCTTCGCCGTGCTTCCTTAAATGTAATGTTCTCCTTCACCTTCAACGTAATTATTTCTTTTTCTTTTTTCCAGTATGTGCAGGAGCGTGAATATGCGGCATGGTTTCCCTCGCAGTTTACACAGTGTGGCGGTTGTTTGCAGTTCTCAGACACGTGGCCTAGGACTCCACATTGTGCACAAGTCTGGCGACCACGACAAGTTTTTAGAGCCATGGCCATACCTCTGGCATTGGAAGCAACGACGAGGGTTTGGTATGTACGGCCTGATAGATGATGTCTTCGCGTACCCTGTTTGAATAGATTCCGGTAGTTTACTGGATGCAAACGTGAGTATTGTTTTGCTGATGTTTCCTTATTATCCCTTCTCATGATGATTCTCTGTACATTAGTGACATTTTGGCTCTTCCACCCCTCCAAAAGTTCAGTCTCAGTCAAGTCAAGTAAGTCCATGTCAGATACCACTCCGCGAGTTGTGTTCATTAATCTATGTGGTGTTATGGTTATTGGTATGCCACTGAAATCTGAAAGACGGTCTAGCTTTTCAAATTGTTCTTTGTCACGGATTTCGAGGAGAAGGTCTCCACTAGCCATTTTGGTTACCTTGTATCCTGTGCCAAGAGTTTCGGTAAGACATCTAGAAACTAGGAAAGGAGAGACGGTCCTGGCTTGCTTTTCAGTTTTTTCACAGTGGATGACATGAAAGTGAGAATATGTTTCTTTTGGCTGGTTGAAAAAATTTATATCATCGGTGCGTACCCGTTTTAAGCCGGTACGATCAGACAGTAGGGGGAATGCCCTATGCATGCCTGTCTTATTTTTGTTCAGCAGCGTTGGCGGCCACCCACCACGGAGCCCAACGAGGGGACGCTACAAGTTTGCAGATGCTGAAACCTGCAGACGCCAGCCAAAAAACGCCACTATAACCCAATGCGCCTAGACCAAGGTAGGCTATTTGCACAGGGTTAACCCTAGCCGCCAGGAAGTTTGGAAGTAAACGGAAGAGAGTAGAAGACAGGACAGATAAATAGTAAGAGATAAAGACGAAGATGTAGGGAGAGAGAGAGATAGGAAAAGGCCTGCCGATTTCCCCTGGGTGGGTCAGCCCAGGGGTGCCGTCTACGTGAAGCCGGGGCCAAAGGGGTGTGTTGCCTCTGCCGGGGGGCCTTAACGGTCCAATCACCCAGCGTCGGCTCAACCCCCAGGATCCCCTTTTCCCCGGACACGGCAAATCCACACACGGCTAGGCGTGAGAGGGAGTAGAAACTCCCCCGTTAGCTCGGGTTCGTGGTGTCGCTACACACCAAACGCCTACTTGCGCAGGCGCCCCTGCGGGGAAGCTACAGATGAACCCAGAGATGCTAACTCTGAATAGGAGTTTGGACTTCATCTTTTTACTATCTTGATCCTTAGTCGAAGCCATGACCAAATTCTGGGTTCTTTGTTCTAACCGCCATAGCAACTTTAGGAAGCCGCACCCATTCAATGAGAGCTAAATGAGATCGCGGTGATGCTTCTAGCTGCCTTCGATCTGTTGAATGCCGCATTTGTTTGTAAAAAAAGGAAAAAAAAAAACATTTAATTTCGGTTATTTACACTACAAGAGCCATTGCTTTTGACACTTGGCAAAACTATTGCCATATGCTAAAGAAACTTATTTTTTATTTTTCTCAAGATTTCGAAAAAAAAACGTGAAAGGAAAGGTTTTCTTCTAATTCCTCAAAATTGCCAGAAATGTTGCATCTTTACAGACAACACAGCTCACAGACGTGGATGTCATTAAAACACTTCCTATGCACATATATTATGTACGAGCAAGGTAGATTGTGTTTTCACCTTGAAAAACGTGTGAAAATTAGAAAACTGTTCCACAGCTTGCACCGTGTCGGCATTGTGCCAGCCATTTCTAGTACCCGCACCACACCACCGGACTGGAAACGCACAATTTCTGAGCATCCCGTGCCTCATCACGAACGAGTACCTCGCGTAACGAAACTACAGTAATACCTCGTTAGCTCAAACTCGCATATCTCGAAAAATTTGCTAGGGAGAAATTTTCACCAGCACCGAACACGTTCCTGTACGTCCCATGTACATTTTTCCCTTCATCTCAAAGTATTTTTGGGTCGGATAGAAGACAACTCGAAACCTTGACTGGGAGTGGAACGAAAATTCCGCCGCCGCAACATTTCACAAGGTTTGCGCAATGCTCCCATGCCTGAAATCAGTAGATATTTTTCTTATTTAGCCGCACCTGCGACTACATCAATGCTTTTCGCGAATGCAAAGTGCGCGAAGTCTCAGCCCTGCAACATAACTTTGTGAAGCAACCCTGTGGCACATCATGTGACACATGGGCCAAGCAGGGACGCCCTCTGGCCATGCTTCGCGTAGTTTGCCTTGTTCGCTTTGTGCAGTGCACATAATTTTCCCCGATGTGTGACTTCCGTTCATCTGCGCAAACCACGTGGTAATTCTTTTTTGCTCACTGCAAGTGCAGTGCTTGTGATTTTCCCTGAGGTGTGATTTCCGTTCATCTGCGCAAACAGAGCAGTACAGATTTTTCACCGACTGTGAGGAACGGCAGCTTAGCGTGAGTGCAGCAAGCACGGTGTCGAAGCAGTGCAAGTTTCTAACGCTAAAAAAAGAGGTTGCCCTCATTAAGGAAATGGAGACCGAATGAAATTGAGCATCGAGCAGGAATTCGGAATTCCTTTGTCTATGCTTTTGACGATGCTGAAAAGAAGCAGAAGGTGCTGGATGAAATTCAGCAGAGACTGTGAGAAACTTTGTCAAGAGGTTATCAAGCTTAGAGGTAAGGGTGCCGCCAAAAATTACGCTGTTTGAGCAGAATGTGGCGGTGACTGGAGAAATGACGGACGCCAAAATCGCTCTAACGGCCACTAACGTAGAGGACGGAGGAGACGACGATGCAAACATCTTCAGAGACGAGAAATTAGCTGCGCTTGCTTTGAAATAACGTCGAGTGCAACGACAAAGAAGACCGACTGATGCGATGCGTCAAGCAGCTAGAGGACACCTGTCTAGGCCAGAGTACGACCGGAAAGCAGAGGAGCATTCGGCAGTTTTTCTAGGCTAAATAAAATGGCAGCGCGGCGAAATCCAGCCGGTTAAAGCCTATTGTACGCCTATTTTTTTTCTCTTTTATACCTGCAGGAGAAAAAAGAGCACAAACTGCCATTAAAGAGCCGGCAAGTAATAATGATTTTTCTGAAAAGTGCTTTTTCCCGGCAATCAGTGCAACTTTGCTTATCTCGAAAATCCATTTATCTTAAAATGTTCCTCGGTTTCCACAACTTTGCGTTAACGAGGTATTACTGTGAAGTTGAAACCCGCTACAATAAGATTGATGGGGCACGGAAAAACTTTCATTGAAGCGAAATCTAAAAAAATATAGTTGACCTAAACTAGCAAAACAAAGGAAGTTTTATTCCCAAAATTTAAATAGTGTCGGCTGCTTTGTTTTCTTTCCTAGCAGCATCGTGACGCAATGCTCGCACATGCATAGTGACAGCAAGTTGAAATGCACACTGAAACAATGGCTTCCGTGAACTAACCAAAAAGTTGCACGTTTAGCAGTTGTCCGCCGTCAAAAGGTATCTGACAACACCGAGAAGGCAGGCGTGGTATTACGAAGTGGTAACTTGCGCGTTATTCTATGATGGTCTTGTCATCCACTTGCCGTGGCAGGCTGATTTTGTTAATAACGCGGATGAACAGTCATTCTGACCTGTGACCACACTGGCGAAGTGTATAAAGAACGGAAAGGATTTGCATCGAAAAAGGCATCGTTTCGAGATTGCGCCCGGCAGCCGTATGGGCAACCGAGCAACTGAACTTCAGCTTTGGATTGTCTGCGGCTAAGAATCAAGCCAGTGGTAAAAGCAGGGCAATCTCATTGCTATCTCTATGTAATGGTGCCCCCCCCCCCCCCCCCCCCCCCCCGCTCTGTCAACGCAGCAGTTTTTGATGGTGCAAGCACACGATTTAAATTTTTTACACCTACTTTCGTGTTCAAACCATGCATAAAAATGTTCAAGATTGTGTTTACTGCCCCGCATTACATATATGGGCCTGAAATTGCATTGCCGAATTTCGTTTAAGCAAATGGCAAAAAAAAGTGTTCATTATGACGATATTTATGCATTTACTCCCAAGGCGTGCTGAGGGGAAATAGTGAATTCTTCATTGTACCGAAAATTTCCCTGAAGCAGCGTTCATTGAAGCAGGCTTTGACTGCAACAGTAGTTGGTGCTTTCCAGCTATTGCAGGACCAGACAGAACAGCAACAGATTGACCACTGTTGAACAAAAATATCAGACCCATTTACGCAATATCCTAAAGCAATGCACAGGCAATCATGATGTAACCTATGAGCTACAGGCAAATTTCAAATATCTCACACACTTGCACAAGCCAAACACAATTACGTCAACCCTGTCGCAAAGCAGGCAAAATGACTGGGAATCGAACCTGTGACCTTGAATTTGACAGCAAAGCGCAACAGACAACGGGTAGATTACTTTATGAATCCACTAGCATGCCAAAAGTTAGACAAGTTTCAAGTTTGCACCAATATTTGCATTAAAAAGAGAATGTTGGTGCATCTGGTGTTGCAAATATCATGTGATGCAAGTGATGGTGTTTCTGGTGCATCTTGGAGAAAACATTTTTACTGAAATGCACCAATAATCGAACGCAGTGAAGCACAAGCTGATGGGTTCGACATCAAGAGTGCAGTACTTACGCTTATGTCGTTGGAAAAGAGAGCACTAGTTGCGAGAGAATTTCCAACTGAAAAAAAAAAAAAAAAAAAAAACACGACCGGTATTTATAACTGAGCCCCCTGAGTCTGCCAAATGCAAATGAATAGGGACACAGCGACAGCAAAGCCAACATTTAAAAATTAAACAGGACATGCTAAACTAGATGTGGGAGGTGCAGTACGCAAATAATAGCAAAAAAACAAAAACAAGAAAAGATGTAGTAGTACATGTGCCAACTTTCAATGCATTTTATTAATGAAAAGGCCAGCCATTTCTCTACCCTTATAAGTTAAACTTCCGAAATTCAGAAAATAAGAATTAGACCCATGGAGAGTAAGACTAGTTATAACATTATCTACCCTGCAAATAATGGCCAAGAAACGATAACTCCTCGTAACTAAGGCGAAGTAATGAATGGCATGCTGATGCACCAATCTGCTGTCTTCCTGACGAAGGATGCTTCTGATGTTTCCGTAAGACTATGCAACAAGTAAAAGGCACGGACAACAGAGAAGATTTCCCTGCTGTCCGTGCCCTTTTTTTTTTTGTTCCGCAGTCTTACCGAGTTTGTACCAACTTGCCCTAAATGCTGCTTTTATTCTGATGTTTTGTCTTTATTTGCTTCAGCCCCCCCCCCTTTTTTTTTAAGAAATCTAATTTACTCAAAAAGAAGGGTGCACTGACCACTCGTAATGACATGCCAGAGTGTTGTCACATGCACTCTTCACATTGTCAGCAAACACGTGTGTTGTTCTTCAAGAGGACAGCCCTGTCTGTCAAATGTAGATTTTTGTGCAGCCGAGTGCTATTTCGTAGACGAAATCACACTTGCAGTCAGCAACTGAACCATTGTAATTTGACTGGGACACAAGCTTTAAAGAGTTTACAACGGGCAGAAACGTTTATATTACGTCCAGTTACCATATTTTTCAGGTTACATGAAAGCTTGTATACCCAAAGATTAGTGCACAGTGCTTTTTTTCTCTTTTGAGGCTAAAGCCTTAAGCGCCTCATCAAAGAAGAAAAACTGAGTGTCAGCATTCGGTTGCATCCCATGGCATCCGTGTCAACACAACTGATGCAAAAAAATAATCGTTACGCTATCACCATATGATGTCAACGTGATACAACCAGATAGCCAAATTTCAAAACATATCCTCGACGTCACATTATGTGAACGACACATGATGTCATCACATGACGTCACTTGGTCATAGACTGGCTTATCAGGGAGGCAGTGCAAAACATCCATCAATGATGCACCACAACACTGTGATGCATCTTTGCATACGATCATCGAACGCCTAGACTCGTCGTCCACTTATTGCTCGTTCGTCCTCCGAAATGGTACACTCTAACCCCCCAACTTTCACCCTGACAGACCAACCCTGCTACTTGCTGCTCCAAAACACCTCCGCTCGGATGTTCTTCACACACTTCATGACCTTCCGACCGCCCGTCACCTTCGTGTATCGCGCACTTGCGACCAGATCCACCGACGCTTCGGTCAGCCAGGCTTTCACGCTCCACATGTGGATACACTGCAGTGTGTGGTCAGTGCCACATAACGCCATCGACGCTCCCCGAGGGTTGCCTTCGATCCCTCGACATTTCAGCAGAACCGTTATTTCGCATTGGCTTAGGCATATTTGGCCAGTTTCCCCTGTCTTCCTCTGGCAACAGGTGCATAGCTGTGGCTATCACTCTGGCTGACCATGCACGCGAAACCGTCTGCATTCACCTTCTGACCTCTCAATAGAACCACGGCACTCTGGAAATGACAGGCCTTGGGGGGGGGGGGGGGGAAGCATTCTTACGGAAAACATAGGTACGCTAGGGGGTTGCTCCGTATTACGTAGCGTCGCTATGGCGGCAAAGCTATCAGCAAAGTAGTCTACAGAGTGACATGTTTTAATAGTACTCGGTTGGTTCAGGGCTGCATTGTTGTTAACTCACCGCAGATGCCATTTGGAATGGCACGATCCCCGTGAATGCTCCCCGATGGCGAAGACGGCGAAGCTTCGCTGGACGTTGGCGGGAAGGATGGCGGACTGTGGTGGCTCCTTCTCCTGTGTAGGTTGATGCTGTTCGGTATACTTGTGTGCGCGGACATGCAGTGGCCCGCCTCCTCCCTGTTACGACAAAAAAAAAAAAAAAAGGGCGCTGTAGTCATTTGAACAGTTTAACGAGTACAGTGAAGCCGCACGAGTCAAGTTCTAGGGTGTAGTGTACATAAACAATGACAACTACGAAGCCCGCTGCGTTACAGGGGCGGGGCCGGACTCCAGATTATTTTTGACTATCTGGGCTTTTTTCAAACCACATTTACACCAATGTGCGCAGGTTTTATTATTTTTTTAATCACTTCACCTCTTGGGTAAATGTGTCACAGCCGAGAAATAAAACCACAGCTCCATGCCCAGCATTCGTCCTCGTCAACCTATAATATGAACACTACGGGGTGTCGCTGTGTCGCATCTACTCTCTCTTACTCGAAATGTAATATACTTCGCAACGGCTCCACTATATAAGTGCCACCTAAAGCTGTCTTGTTCTCAATCTGCAATTTCAGTACAACTGCCTTGTACTCTAAAGAAGCTAATGTTGACACATGGGTGTGGGCAGCCAGCCACTGCCAATTTGCATGGAACACATGTACAGCAAAAAGAGGGTCAAGGAAGTACTAACGCCCCTCGTAGTCTAGTACTGGTGAGAACTACTGCCTCAATGGTCAATTGTACTCTATTAATATATCCAGCACTTAGAACCCGCTAAGCTACTGCTTGCATCATTTGTTTAAATTAAATCAGGTGAACACCGAGGCCTGGATCTTGTACACATTACCTTTTCCTCGAGCCATTGGTCGATTGTCCTGCATACGTCACACACAAGAGACATTCATGCAAGCTTCAACCAATTACATGCAGCGACACCATTTGTTCCTTTTTTTTTTCTTTTTTGGAGTGGGTACAAGATCTCGGCCCATGCTACTGCGAGTCAACAGCACTTCCCAGGTCGCTTGCAAATTAATTTTTTTTTCCATGACAAGCAGCTTTCAACTGCTAAGCATCAGAGTTGACTGAAAAAGTATAAGTGGGGCTCACAGTACGAACATAAGTCCAAACTGCACAAGCCTTATTTTCTTGATTCACACAGCCCAGGGCTCAGCAACCTGGGGCTCGGGAGGCAGTATTATGCAGCCCTGGGCACATTCCAAGAACCTTGCCTTTGTGACTCACTATCTGAAGGCTGGCATGGATGGAAGTTTTGACCTCAAGTGGGGTTTTAGTACCTATGCTTGTAAATTACAACTTAGCGACATGCATACTGACAACCAAACATCATGACTTTTCTTCTAATTTTTTGCATAATAGTCCATTCGTTTACTTTTTCTTTTATTTCTATGCTAGCAAAGCACTCCACCCCTTTTTAATTAGCCGTTCAGCCTCCACGGTCTACTTCATTCAATGGGGCCCTCCCTCTTAAAAGGTTGACAAACCCTGAAATAGCCAATCACCCAATAGCCAGCTGACAATTTCAACATATATGCCTTTCTAGCATAGGGAATTAACCCTCACATGAAACATTAGCAGAAGACTCTCCAATATTAAAAACATTTGAAGCGATCTTGAAATTTCTACCTCAAAATAAGTCCACTTTCGATGTCCTAAAAGGTGTACTTTACAACAGTGCAAATGCTATGGGAGAGATTCCGCCTTGTTGGCAAGATATGAAGAGATATCTAGGACAAAGTAACACAAGAACTAGAAGGGAGGGAATGACATGCACACCACGTCAGCGCAGCGAAATTCATACATACTTCTGCACTGATTAAAACTTTCCAGAGAGAGCAAGTAAAATACGCAGGTGACCAGCGCACCTTCAAGCATCGCACTGTTGTACCCTCCCTGGCACCAGTTTTCCCAAAGCAACCTTGGCACTAAAATATGCGAGCTGCAAAAAGTTTGTTTAAAATAACACCAGCAGCCTTGCCTACCACCAAGCACCATGAACACAGAGCCATTCAGCCAAATGCTCTTAGCAATGCTACGTTGTTAGTGATGCTAAAATAAGTGACGGTGTGGAGACTACGGACAAAAGCAGGAAAGGTGCGCAAAGGCAAATCCGACTCACAATTCCAGCTGGAAGTCTTCGTACGAGGGTCCCCCATGACGTGCGGGGACCTTGATCTGCAGCCGACGGCAGAAATCCTCGGGGCTCATCTGAATTACACCCTGGGGTCGCGCCCCCTGCCACACCAGGTCGCACCGCACCTCCTCATGTCCTCCATTGCTTCCAACCATGAAGTCCAGCGACACCGCGTCTCCAGCAGCCGAGCACCTCACACAGGCGCTTCGTACACAGCACCCCATCGCTGTAAAAAACACCACTCAGGAAGTTCACCTTCAGAGAGCCCACTGAACACGCTTGGTCTTGGACCTCAATTGTGCCACCGAAGTCAGTGACGTCAGTGACAAGCCCTGTTGCGCCCCGAAAGATTACTATGGATGGCTCGACCGACTGGGGCACCGGGCTAAAGGAATCATCCTTGTCAAAGTCGAACAAACTTTTCGTGTCCTTCGGGAGAGGCAACAAATCGGGGCTGACGGGTCGCAAGTACTGCTTCAGTCCATCCACTATCGTATTTGCGGAGGCGGCCGGTAGCCTCGATCCCGCTCCCAAAATGTTGTCGTCCATGTCGTCATCAGTGTCGGCAGCCAGTCGCTCCTGTATCAGGTCCATAATGTCCGATTCGTCGTCTGAAAGGAATACCTCATTACCGCTCTCATCAGCAGAATCAAGTCCGTTATCTTTAGGCCCAAACTCACTGAGCCATACCGTCGTCGCCTGCCATTTGACCTTCTCGGAAGGCTTCTGGCTAGGCTTGGCTTCAAAGTGCACGCGATCGTTGATGGCGAACACGTCCGGTAGGCTCTTGATGGTGTCGCGCGGCGGCATCACAACATTGTTCAGGTGAAAAAAGGCGCGGTCACGGTAATTCGTACCAAACTTGATGAAACCAAACTCCGGTTTGACCATCTGTATGAGTCCATCTCGCTTGATGATAGTGCCCGGAGCTATCTCACTGCCTTCCGTCTCGCTACCCGAATGGCACGGAGGAACATTTTGTATGCTGTGTATGGTCGTCACGACCCACTTGGCCCGTGCAGTCGTGTTCTTGTTGAGGTCGGCGTCAAAGCGAATCTTGTCCCCGACGGCCAACACCTCTGGCAGAGCGGGCACAGCCGTCCCGAGGTACCTCTCGATTTCGGCTGCGTGAAAAAACGCGCACTCCTGCTCTTTTTCCAATTTTATAAAACCGAACTCATCCTTCAGAGTCTCTATGGCACCAGTTCGGTTCACGAGTGGTGCAAACACCGGAGTCTGCGACGCCGGCGACGACGAATCGGACGGAGTAGCGGCATTCCCGCCCTTAATACGCGCCACCCTGCTGGCGCGAAATTTGGCCTCGCACTCATTGGGGCCCACCTCCGCGTCTAGAACGACACCGTCTCCGAGCTGAAGGCCAGATGAGAGGAGACTCGAATGCTGTCCGTTTTCAAACGAGCGCAGGCTAAAGTAAACGCTCGTGCTAATTGGGTGCTGCACCGAAATGAAGCCGTATGTCTTGAACAATCGATAAACTTTTCCCTTGGCACCTGTCAGGGTGGTGGTCTCGTCATCACTGCCACCCGCAGACGACGATGCTCCCGTCGTCTTGCCGGAACTCTTCGACGTGGTCACGTGAACCTGATCATGGTTGCGAATAACAAAGATGTCTGGAAACTGCTCGAGCACCCGGCGGATGGAGTCGACGTTGCCGCCATACTTCATGCGGATTTCAGCGGGAAGCTGGGACAGGTGGCCAGTCAACTTCTGGATGGAAATGCCCGGGTGAGATTCGACTCGCTTGCGGAGGAACTCCTTGAGCGTCTCGAGCGTCTCGCGCGACTTGCTACTTCCATTCATCATAATCCACAAGGGTGTATGAAGCACACTCTAATGTGCTGCAAAAGAAGACGACACAGTGTCAAACAATGCAAAAGAGTGTTTCTCGGTCAACTCGTCATTCACATCATGAAACAATGCAAAAATGCTTCTGTCTGCCAGATGAAAAATTCGTGAACATGGGTTGTCGCTGGAACCGACATTTTGACAAGTGTACTTTCCGTCAAGGCAACCCTGAACTTTTTCAAGTTGCAGCCTAAAGAAAAGCTCGCTTGTCGAAACAATGGCTCCAGTGACAACTCGTGTTGATGAATTTTTCGTCTTTTCAAGCTTCCACCTTTTTCCTGAACTTATGCCTTTGCTTTTCCACTAAGTTATTACGTCATCAAACAATGCAAAAAGTAAGGAAAAACATGAGTCAACAGCTGAACCCCACATGAACAAGAAATCAAAATAAAGAAACGTCCCTTATTTTAAAATTAGCAGACGAAAGAATGCGCGACGCCAACAAGACTGCTACAAGACAGCTATAATACTACTCATTCAGAAGTTTCACATGCAAACATACTAAAACAAGGGCAAAAACGCAGCCACAGGAGCCACGCATATGCGATGCAGACGCGTCTCGTGTTAAAACTACTGAAAGCGAGTCTATCTCTCACGAAGAAAAATGGCGCTGCTTGAAAACGCGGTGAAGTACACACGACGATGGGCCCTGATGAGGCTGCTGTAGTTAGCTTCAAAGAACTCTGACCAATTTAACTAGCGCGACTTTCACACTCGGTACTACTTGACGGTGCGGCCAATTGTTTCAGTCGCCACGATGGCCCAAGCGTGGCTAAAAATCACGTGCGCCCACACGTGGCAACCGGTGCCAGATTTCCAAAGGCACAGGCGCGTTCGGCGGAGATCAATTCGTTATGCAAATAGAACAAAAGCGGGCGTCGGTCACACAGCGGTGCCATATGTCGCGGGAGAAGGGTCGTTTCGTTCGAGCACATTTCGCATCGCAGTGCAATATACGCACTGTTTCTCTCGTTTACGCTTTCTAATGCGTCCGTAAGAAAGTCACTAGCGACAAGCGTAGTATTTACGGCTAGTACGAAGCATGCGCCACCCTTGTTAAGCGGAGAACCGACTTTCCAAAGTTACAACGCCGGGCCGGGTGACTAGGAACACCGGCATATAATTTTCCAAGTTGGAAGTTCGGATACGCGAATTAAACTTGACCGTGCGGGACGCACGCTAGATGGGCAGCCTAAAAAAAAGAAGAGAGAAGAATAACGTCATTGAGCGAAGATAAAAACAAAACACGGCGTTCGCTAGGATACGTAAGGTCGAAACACCGCCGCTGCTTGCGATCGGTGCCGCGGTAGAATTGATCGGTGCGAAGCGCTTCTCGCGGGTTTAACGACGTGCCACAAACTGTAGCGAACATAAGGCTCGCTTCGAAAAGAAGAAAAAAATAAAGGACAAACGACGCCAGCGGTTTGAATTTGCGCGGCTCGCTCAAGCACGTAGGCCTGAAAGGAACGCAACAAGTGGCCGCTCGTTTGTGGTCACTACCGCGGTAGATCCTTCGGTCCATGGTCGACACAAACGGCACCCCGTCGAAAAAGTCGAAGGCTAGTGTAGATCGGCACAGCACCCATAGCCCGCGGGACGCGCTTCGATAACGTTAGATAAGGCGCTACGCATGATTCGATTCGAAGAAGTGCGTGCTTACCTGCGCGATGGGTGCCAACCGTCATGGGCTTGGACCAGCGCACGTGTTAGCGATATTCCGTCTTTTCTCGCACACGCGTAGCGCCAGCGAGTCGTAAATCTTCACAGACAGGCCCGAAACGCTACAAGCGCTCGGTACAACTTTTTACAACTGCAAGATAATGCAGATTATCTTGCGGGGCCTCGAACCCATCGCTCACAGGCGGATATGTCGCGTGTAATTTCCGCCGGCGCTGATCGGTCGATTTTGCCAGGTTGCCTGCACATTTCCGGTGTGCGCGTGCTTCGGTTTTTGCTGACGACACGCCGCTGTGGAACAATGTTGACAATGTTATGACTAAGTGTTCCGCGAACTTCTCTATTTATCGTTCTTATCTCTCCGGTGTGTGACTCGGCAAGCGAATAGGCACCGTCAAGGTGGCACTGTCGTTGAAATAGCAGAGGTTTAACGTTTTGATCAGTAACTGTCACTCGATTGTCGCTTCACCTTTAGCGGTGGCCGCGATTCTTTAATGTCACTAAATGCTACATCTCAACCAGCTATCCGTCCCCAACAGATGTTAAATTATGGACTTGAATGACACGGCAAGCTGGTAAACACAGCCACATTTGCGTGATGCCGTGACATAATTCTCTGGGCCTCGCTGTTTTTTGGTGCAATGAAATTATTCGAGTTTTCGACAAGTCGATTACAACTGCAGTTCTGATCGACTTGTCGAAAACCTGCTTGCGTTTTCAAACAATCAAAAATGAATAAAAACCGCAAAGTGCGTGGGTAATTATATTTATCTTTATTACTGTTAGCTCCGACGAGCGCCCACGTTTTTTTTTTTTTTCCTAACCGCAACTTTCGTTAATTTCATCTTAAGCGGCTTATCACATTGTGGCATCACCGCGGCGCCCGAACCCTCCTCTGAGCGATGGTTATCAAAAGTTCCAAGACCAACCAACGGGAGCTTCATTTTCTCACACCTTTTCTTGGAGCATTAACGTGTGTATATTAGCAACATTGGGCATCTCAAATGGGGCGGGGCAGAGCGGGAAATCAAAGTTTTTGTTGTGCGCCGTAAAGCTTTCCACGAGGTTTTCGCATAGGATCATACGGTGCCAAACCCGGTTGGAGACAGTTAACGCAAAATACACGGCTTTCAGGTTTGGTTCACGAGTGTTGACTTAAAAGCATGAGTTATTTTACGTTCTAGCAGCTAGGCTTGCGTGCGTCTGGGGGCGATTATCCCTGGTACATCGCCGATAATAGGTGTGCTGTCTCTCGAGAAACGCGGAGTGTCGAAAACGGGATACGGATGGTCCATTCTGCCTGTGCTCGGCTACGGTGAACGTCAAGTGCACTCAAATTTACATTCCTCGAAGGTAAGTTCTACATGTTGTATCACATGTATTTGCGAGTGCCCGAATAGGAGCAGTGGCACACAGAGATTGCTGAGGCACTGCCAGTGAAGTACACAGCGCCTCAGGGAGAATCGTGCCGGTGCGGTGTTTTCGCCGATTTCAATCCGCAACAAAAAAGCGCCGAGCTTCGTCGCCAACGGATAAATGCCGTGAACGGAAAAGACTACGAGCCCAGTAAATATGCGCGAGTAAGTATACTTACTGCGTATATTCAAGCGCGACGCCAACTACCGCGCT